CGCGCGGCCGTCATCAAGGTAGGGCGGCCCGGGACCACCGGCAATGCCTTCCAGGTCTGCGCTATGTGTGCGCGCTGTGTCCCCCGGCTGCAGCGCCCGGGGAGGAATGCTGGGGCTCGGTGCACCGCAAGGGACCCGGCGGGGCTGGGGGGACCTGGCTTCCATCCCCCCGCGTGACCTTGCACAAAGCACTGCTCCTCCGCAGGCCTCAGTTCCTCATCGGGATAGCAGCCGTAAAGGTGGCCCCTTCCTAGCCGGGCTGCTCGGTAGGGCAGCCTCAAGCTCCCGGCTCCCGACGGCGGCGGGGCCTGGATGGGCACTGTCTGCACAGCCCACCCGCAGTGAGGGCTGCTCATGCTGGGTGTGGCGAGCCGGTCCCGACAGTCCCCTCTAGTGGCCTGAGTGCCCCGTGGGACCTGTGCCGGGGCTCTTCCCTCTCCTGGCTGAGTAACCTGCTGGGCCTTACCTTCCCAGTATGAGAAACAAGGAGGGGAGACACCCCCGGGTCCCTATGGAGCCCGCCTGGGCATGCAGGGTGGGGCAGTCAGTCTGCCCGCCAAGTCTCTCTCGCGGTCTGGGGCTGGAGGAGCCCTGGTTTGGAGGTGGATGGGCCCTTGGCCACAGACTTGCCTGGACCAGACCCAGCAGACACCTTGATTTAGGGAATGGTGTGGAACATGCGCTTCCTCTTCCCTTCCCCTCCAGGTTCTGGTGCCCAGCTCTGTGCTCCCACCCGGTGTGATAGGAATGACTTCTCCATGCAGGCACCCGGAGAAGGGCCACAGTGCCAAGAGAGCTGTGTCTGGGTAGGGTTGGGTCTGGGACAGAGCAGGTGTCTGAGAGACTGTGAGTCCAAGCTCTCTGAGTAAAAAAAGACCTCTGGCATCTGGCCCAGCCCCTTGGTAAGATCCCCTTTAGAAGATCTTGCTGCCCTATTGCATACCGCTTATGATGGGAATCTCACTAGCTGTAAGCAGAACTAGAATCTGCTAGTCCTGCTCCATCCCCCACCCCAGGGCAATCATCTGGTGCCTTAAATCAGCTCATCTCAGGGCTAAACAGCCCCAGATCCGGCACTGTTTCTCCTGTCAGAGCCAAAGGGAGAAAAAGCAAGACAAGGAAGCTGAGGTGTCTGCCCCAGAGCAGGCAGCAGTTAGCCTGGGGCTTTCTCAGAACCCACCTTCATCAGGACTGGAATGTGTCCCCTGTATGGGTTAGCAGCCGTCTTAGAGGTCTGGAGTGAGAGAAGAGCCAGGGGACCCCTCTCCAGGCCTTCCAGCCTCTGGGTCCTCTTCCCTGTCTTCTCCTGTCGCCTGCCCTAACTGGGAGTAGTTTCTGAGAATCAAGTCTGGGCCTTCTGGTCTCTCTTTTACCCCCTCATGACCTGCCCCTCACCCGGGAGCTTCCTCAAAGCCAAAGGAAAGGAGCGGATGCCTGGGCAGATGGTGAGCTCTGTGTCATTAGAGGTGTGTGTACAGAGGCTTGGATGAGCACTTGCTGGGGGTGAGCTCCCTTTGACTGCAAGTCTGGTACACTAGGGCCGAAGTAGAGTAGCCATGACCTTGCATTCTGGCCATGATGGAGTTGCACAGAACTTGAAGCTAGACCACAGATGAGTGTTCTTATCCCCTTGTAAAAGCAGACTAAGTATATGTGCTTTCACTCGAGTGTAGCTCCATCACACAGGCTTAAGTGCTACCTGTGCCTCCCATCATCTCTACCTGCATATAATCTGGGCTCCATTTTCCTGCTCTGCTAGTCCAAGCCAATTGGGCCTTGATTTAGGGGTAGGGCAGATTCCAGTTATTAAAAAGTCATCCTATGCCAATAATTTTAAAATGTACCATGGAATTATGGAACATCCAAGCTGAAAGGGATCTTAAGAAATCATCTCATCCAACTCCCTCATTTTACAGATAGGTATCCCCTATCCCTGGAGGGGATATGACTTGTCAAAGGTCACACAGCAAACAAACAACCAAGTCCAGGGATCCTGACTCCAGGACCAATGTGTATGCGTGTGTGTGTGTGTGTGTGTTTGAAAAGCCATACCATACAGTAAATGAAAGCAACCTGTGTTTATTCCTATAAAATTAACAAAAATAAATATAAGAGGATAAACCTCTATACTGGCAAAACAGTAGGGATTCTGCAGTAGCATTTAACTTTACAGGGCAATCTGGCAGCTGGTTACAAAAGTCCATGAAAATGATCCTAACTTCCCTTTGCCCCTAGCCTTCTACTTTGAGGACTTTACCCCAAGGAAGTAATTACAGAGAGAAATGAGTGTAGTGCTATTATTTACAAGATGTTATCTTATACAGACGAAGCTTTTGGTGTTTTACCTGAGGCTTAATCAACATTTCATTTGAAAAGTACAGCTTTAAAAATAGTGACACTAAAGCTTCCATTGCCAGAGACTGGCCAGCACAGGAGCAGTGTGGTCCGGAGGAAAAGCCACAAGGCTCAGGTCAGCAGCTGTAGATTCCCGGATTGGCTCTTCCTCTACCCCACCGTGTGACCTTAGGTCCATCCCTGCCCCTTTCTGGACCTCATTTCCCTGTCTGTGAAATGGGGTATATTCAGTGATTGCTAAATTTCTTTGAGCTCTGACAACCCACCTTCTAGACTTAAATCCCTGTAACTGAAGCCTTTATTAGGAGCCATGAACACAGGGTAACCAAAGAACCTTCCAGCCTCCCTCCCTCCCCTATCATTAAATGAATCCCCTTAGAGTCAAGCAGCTAGCTAGCTACTCTTCTGGGAAAGAGACTTCCCTCAGCCTTGGACCTTTGTTATCTTCAAATGGCCAGAACGTGGATTATTTTAGGAGCTAGTGTGTTTTTGTTTTTATCTTTACCAAATATAAGGGGACCGAGATTTTTTAGGAGGATCAGAAAATAATGCAGCAAGATCCTCCATTTCTTATTTTAAGTCTGTAGGCTGTGCCTTGCCTCTTTCAGAACAGACTGGAGGTGTTTAGCAATCACAGCTATTATGAAGGGCCAGGAGGAGGTGAACAAACATTTACTGGGCACCTACTGTGTTCTAGGCCTTGAGGTGCCTCCCGAGGGCCTATGGGTGCCATGGGAAACACATTAGATTAAACTATGTGAAATGGTCAGTATCTGGCTGTTTTTGACTTATAAGAAATGGCAATTTTATTTTGCTCAGCCTAAATGAAAGAAGATATAATTAAAATGCAGTGTGCTCCTTACCATAATTGAGAGATTGGCAGGGTGCGGTGGGGACTGGGAAAGGTGATTACAAGCTTGGAGAAGTCAAGGTGGAAGGACTTGGGAGTCTCACCGTGAAGAACCCATAACAACAACAATAATAAGCTAACAAGTGTCTAGTACTTACTACCTGCCTGATTCTGTCCTGTGCTTTGTGTCTTTCGTGTAGTCATCCAGCCTTCCATTTATTAAGCACCTACTTTGCGTCACATTTTTCTAGGTAGGGGTGGGAGGGCTTGACAGTAAACAAAATAGACAAAAAAAAAATCTGTCTTAAAGGAGCTTCCACTCTTAATAGGAGAAAAGACAGAGAGTTAACAGTAAGTAAAATAGGTGGTGATAAGTGAGATAGAGCAAATAAAACATAGGATGTTTCAGGCATGTGAGGGGAATGGAAAGAGGTGGTTGTGGTTTTAAATAGGATGGTTGGGAGGATCATTGAGAAGGTTACTTTTGGGCAAGGGCTTGAAGGAGGTAAGGGAATGAACTGGGCTGATTTCTGGAGGAAGAGCCATCTAGGTAGAGAGGAGAGCTGGTGCAAAAGCCCTGAGGTAGGCCATGTCTGGCACGTTCAAGGAAGAGCACACTGGGACAGAGTGATGGAGAGGGAAGAGGAGACAGGTGAGAGAGGCCATGGGTCAGGCTGTGCACCCCGTCTCATACAACATGAAATGAGTCCTATAAGTTTGTGAGGGAGGTAATATTTGTATGTCTGTTTTTCAGTTAAAGGAACAGAAATACAGAGAGTTTAAGTACTTGCCGAAACAGTATCTCACAGAGGATCTAGGGCTTTTGGTCAAGTGCAGAGGGAGCCATGGAAGGCTTTTGAACAAAGCCAGGGCACGGCCACATTTGCGTTAGTGTGCTTCCTCTGGGTGCAGAGAGAAGCTGTGAAAGTGATGAGGTTGGACCCGTGTGTGAACCATTGAACGTGGGGGCAGAGGATCTGCTGAGCTTGGTACTAGGGGTGAGGTAGTGGTCCAGGCCAGGTGAGCAGGAAGAGGAGGAGGAAGCCAGGCTGGTCTTGGGGTTTTTTTTTTAATTGAAGTATAGTTGATTTACAATGTTATGTTAGCTTCTGGTGTACAGCATAGTGATTCAGTTCTATGTATATATATTCTTTTCCATTATTGATCATTATAAGTTATTGAATGTGGTTCCTTGTGCTATACAGTAGGACCTTGTTGTTTTTCTACTTTATATATAGTAGTTTATGTCTGCTAATCCCAGATTCCTAATTTATCTCTCCCCCTCTTTCCCCTTTGGTAACCATAAGTTTGTTTTCTAGGTCTGAGTCTCTTTCTGTTTTGTAAATAAGTTCATTTGTATCATTTTTTTAGATTCCACATATAAATGATATCATATGATATTTGTCTGTCTCTGTCTGACTTCACTTAGTATGACAATCTCTAGGTCCATCCATGTTGCTACAGACGGCATTATTTCATTTTTTTGTGGCCAAGTAGAATTCCATTGTGTATATATATATATATATATATATATATATATAACGCATCTTCTTTATTCAGTCATCTGCCGATGGACATTTAGCTTGATTAGATGTCTAGGCTATTGTAAACAGTGCTGCTGTGAACATTAGGGTGCATGCATCTTTTCAAATTAAGAGTTTTGTCTTGGGCTTATTTATTTAACAAATAATAGCACTTCTTATGCTCCAGGTACCATCTAAGATTTTACACCCGTTGACCCATTCAATCCTCAAAGCAATCTATAGAATAGATACTACTACTTATTATTATTCCCAATTTTAATAGGTGTATT